TGCTGAAACCATAATTGAGCTCTGTGAGCTGTCTGCCATCAGAGAGCAAGTGCCTACAGAGACAAGCTCAGAAATAAGAGCAAGGAACTGTGAAGAAAAGTGCTATCAGTTGTTTGAGACCTCTTGTCAGTAGGCAGTACAAACACTGCACCTAGAAACTGTAGGAAATCACAGTATTTCTGTTCTGATAATTTTTGTCAAGTGTATGACTTGCAAAGTAAAAGGCCTAACACTACCATTGTTGTGTAAGTTGCACTAAGTACCTTAATTACCTGTATTTGTAAGAAAATCAGGAAAAAGAAACCTGATACATTGATTTCAGCAATGTGGGATCACCAAAGCTAGCAATGTTTTGGAACTGGGCTCTATTCTACTCAAAGATTCATTCTGCAAAACCCATGCCTACAGTTTGAAGTCAGATGAATTAATAAAAGCAATAACACAGCAGTCCCTATTTCTATTTTTGTCTCATTTTACACCAAATTAGTTATAATTTACCTAGATACAATTCATGAGATGTCCAGGCAGAAGTAGCTGAAAAATGTCCTTGCATTGGTCTTTTCCATTCCTGCGTCTTGAAACAAAGTCACACCAATCAATCAATCAGAACCAGCACTGAAATATTTTCAAATACGTAAATAACCTTATACGGATTTCTTCTTTCCCTCTAAGAATAAACTAAACCTTGCCTTATACTCTTGCCTTATACTCTTGGGAGGATGTGAGGAGTGGGCTCCCACCACCACTGTTAGCTTTAGTAGGACTTAGTAATCAAAGTTTCCAAGTGAACAGTAACGGGTAAGATTTTTTCCTACTCTGAAAAAAGAACACTTCCCCTCTGCCCCAGTAATAGGTGAACTGTATTCGTTGCTTGTCTTTTTACTTATACACAAATATTTTTCTCATGCTATGGGTGAATGGAGGGTTGGACTTTCAAAAATGGTATGTGTTCTAGTAGAAGGTATTCAGAGATAAGCTTGTTCTGTTCATTTTGGGTTTTTTAATCAATGACAAAGTAACTGTTTAGGAAAATAAGTATAACAAACAGCTTCCCAAAAAGCATCTCAAGTTTGTCAGTGTTGGTCAAGTTTACAGAATGATAACTGAAAACATGGTTAGTTTTATTTTAGCTGTTTTGTTGTAGACAGTAGACAAGCATTCCTTTAGGGAGAACTATGGCCATTTTAAGAAGGCAGACTGCACTAAATCTAGCTGTTTCCCTCTATTCTAGAGTTTCCACAAAGACAGTAAAACCTGCTGGAAGGAAAGAGCTTCTTGCTACTGACTGTTGAGGCAAATGATAGAGTAGGATTTAGAAATGGATTGCACCTATATATGAAGGATAAAAATATTCTCTGTTAAAATTATCCTTTCAAAGGGATAATAACCCCCTCTTCAGGGTACAGACCAACTGCTAAGACTCTTTACTGAAAATGAAATTTCTACAGCACTCCTCACTGTGCATGTTTCACAGCTCTGTGAAGCAACCAGATATGGCTAAAGGCAGGACAGTGTTTTATTAGGTATGCTGGTCTGAATCAGTAGGGCACTTCCCAAGGTTCTTACCACACCAAATCTATCCATCTGATTCTGCAAAACTCTAGTGTAAATAATGACATACCTATCAAAAAATCAAAATTATTTTACAGTTCTAGCAGAAGGTCAATTTTCATATAAACAGAAACAATATTCTAAAACCTGCTTTTAAGGTTGGCTATGCTGTCCTTGCTAGAATAGAATGTTCTCCAACTTATCCTCAATCCCTACTGTCCAGGTCCTGCACTTGGGCCACAACAACCCCAGGCAATCCTACAGGCCTCGGGAAGAGTGGTTGGAAAGCTGTCCCACAGAAGAGAACCTGGGGGTTCTGATTGATAGGTGGCTAAGTATGAGCCAGCAGTGTGCCCAGGTAGCCAAGAAGGCCAGTGTCATCCTGGCCTGTATTAGAAACAGTGTGGCAAGCAGGACTAGGGAGGTGATCATCCCTCTCCACTTGGCATTGGTGAGGCCACATCTCAAATACTGTGTCCAGTTTTGAGCACCTCAATACAAGAAAGACATTGAGGTGATGGAGTGTGCCTGAAGAAAGGCAATGAAGATGGTAAAGGGATTTGAGAAAAAGTCTTATGAGGAGCAGCTGAGGTAACTGGGGCTCTTTAGTGTAAAGAAAAGGAGGCTGAGGGGAGACCTCGTTGCCCTCTATAACTGCCTGAAAGGATGTTGTAAAGAGGCAGTTGCTGGTCTCTTCTCACAAGTAACTGGTGATAGAACAAAAGGAAATGGCCTCAAGCTGCGCCAGGACAGGTTTAAACTAGACATTAGGAAAAACTTTTTCACTGAAAGGGTTGTCAGACATTGGAACAGGCTGCCCGGGGAGGTGGTTGAGTCACCATCCCTGGATGTGTTTAGAAGTTGTCTAGATGTGGTGCTTGGGAATGTGACTTGGTGCTGCATTTGATACAGTAGAGTTAATGGTTGGACTAAATGATTGTGAAGGTCTTTTCCAACATAAGTGATTTTATGATAAGAAATTCTGTTACATTACAGTTACTATCTTGAAGTCTGTGTGGTGATACTGCTTGGGGGAGAAATAATGAAGTGCTGGTTTTGCCTGTTCATTTTTCTTCATTACAAGGTGTTTATAGAAAGAAGACTGAACAGAAATACAGGCAGTGATGCTATGTATTATCAATGCAATTGAAATAGTTGGTCAAGAGTATTCTCAAAGGACAACTGCTACAGTGGGGATTGCAACAGCGGATTTCAATTCTCACCTGCCAACTAAGTACTCATACTGTGGGCTGTCAACAGGAGACAGAGACTAAACAAGGCTCATCTGCTGGAGAAACGGAATAGAGAAAAGCCCTAGGAATTGTCTGGTTTCTTGATTATCCTGTCCTTTCTTTTCACATACAATTTCTGTAGAAGATGTAGAGCTGAACTTGATACAGGCGTGTTTTCATCTTCTAGTAAGGAAGCTCTATATATGTAACTTAGTGATGAACTTTAAGTGCTTGGGCTTGATCTATTGCTTTGTTGGTCAACAAGTACCTTTTATTGACTTAAAAAAGCTTTTAATCAGATCTGTATTTCCAATAAAAACAGTGACATTACTTTTTAAATAATTGACTTTTTCCCCTGAGAGAAAAGCCAGTTGGCCCCTCTAGTCCCAAGCCTACAGGAAGTCCACAGCAAATTGTGAATTTATTCCTCTTTGTCACAGACATTTCTTTGGGCCATATGTTTAGTATTATTAATTTCCTATCACTGCTCCAGTATAAATATTATTCCTTTTTTTTTCTTTTCACAGTGGACATTTGCACTGACTCTGAACTTGTTTCATTACTGAATAAGTAATTTTAAGTCTTCTACTGCCCTTTAAATAACCTTTTATCTCTGGTGATTTTTCTGTATATTTATATTTATCTTTCACATTTTTCTTTATAATTATTCCTCCATAAATTTAATTAAAATTAAAGCTATTTTAACCTGTACTTTGTAGCAAAAAACCAAATTTCTTTAGTCACTTAATTTTTGTTACGTTGATCCAGTTCTGATTAAATGGATAGCTACAGGGAAAAACATCAGATCTCCATTCTATTAATAATCATCATTAACACTTCAGAACAGCACTTAAAAAACCTTCTAACAGGTTATGACGGGAAAAAAAACAACAACACAAATAAAAAAACAACGAAACAAACAGAAAAACCCCACAGCAACAGGAAACTATATTCTTATACTTGATCTCATTTATTTAAAACATTATTCTCTCAGATTCTGTCTCTCCACTTGCTATTGGTGTGGAATTCTTTTGTTATTTTAGTGGTAGTGTGTTAAGCACAGCAATTTCTACCTAGGCAAGATGCCCACTGATATTGACAATGTGACAACAACTTACACTTCGCTGCAGGAACCTGGACAATAAATGCCATGATACTGTCATTCAGATAGTTTATCAACCTTAACATTTTGCTCCAACAGCTAGGGCTACAAATTCTCTCTATAAGTTCAGAGTATTTGTCCAGCATTTCATTGCTGCTACAGTAGGAGCCCAGGAAGTGCACTAGTTGTTGAGCATTGCTGTGGGCAAAGACAATCTCTTCCAGAATTCCAAACATTTCTGGGGTTCACCTCTTGCTACTGGCACATTGGTTTTAAATACACACTGTCTCTAATAACTTCAACCCAATATCACAGATGTATTCAGAAATAATGTCTGCCTCTATTGTCTGAAAATACCCAATTCCTTTGATAACAGGAGTGTTGTCAAAGGCATATCTGAAATGCACTCTAATGGTGAATGCTGACTGGTAACAGAACTATGGCATACAAGGGAGAACTTTGCAACTACCTCTCTGTACCTTGCTCCTTTCCTATGAGCAACTTTCCTTTTCTTGGGAAGGTGTGACGACCTATGACAGCTGTGTTGCCTTCAGGCAGGCAAGGGCGACCTGGTTCAGGAACGGCACGGCGACCGACCCCTGGTCGCTCGGTCCGTATGCACACAGACACCAACGTGGTGGATGACATGTGGCTGCCCCGACCCCCAGTTTCGGGGTGACCTTTAAACAATTCTTTGCCTCCCTCCAAGTCTCCTGTTCTCGTAGGGCTTTCTGCAGGGCTTGCACGACCCTCCCCCACGATTTCAGTTTTTTTCCACTACCCGAGGACATCGTTTCCTTGGCTAAAGCTTTAGTAGATTTGTCCCACATCTCAGGGTGGAGAATATCCACCGGCTCGTCAATGACCCCGGTTTGCAAAAGTCTCGCAACAGCGAGAGTAAAATCTTTGGGCTTACAATCAATCCTCCACTGCTTATGTATTTGTAATACGACCTTCACATGAGTTTCCATCTCAACCTTCACAAGGGCTTTAATCCTTCCTTGTGGGTTCCGGAGCGTCCTCCTTCTTGTTGGTCCGGGGTGTCTCTCTGCCGGGGTGGTCCTACCGCTCCGGCCGCTGTTCACCAGATTCCAGGCGATTTCCTGATTCAGGGCGAGTTCCCTCGATTCCCGGGTTTCGGCACCACTTGTTGCCTTCAGGCAGGCAAGGGCGACCTGGTTCAGGAACGGCACGGCGACCGACCCCTGGTCGCTTGGTCCATATGCACACAGACACCAACGTGGTGGATGACAAAATGGCGTTTATTATCATGTGGCATGGCATTATATAGCTTGAGTGACGTTACATCCGTCTGCTTACATCACTGGGGGGGAGGTTTGGAGGGGGGAGGGGCCC